TTAAAGCCTTCATAGTTTTTCAAACCTCATTGTAAGCTGGGTTATGCTTCTTAGGAGTCTTTGCTAATTGTTTAGGTAATTAACAATAGCGAAGACTGCACTATGGCAAAACCTCATCTAAACCAGGTACTCTAAGCCCAGTGATTTATGCAACACAAAATGAAAAAAAAATCACTTACTGCAGGCTCACATAATGTTTTTTGATTGTACCATTTTCTTTTTGTCCATTAATTTCTCCTGGTGTTGGGAAGTGAGGTAATGCTGATCTGGGGTTTGTGTAAAAAGCAGTATTTTTCTGAATCCTGAAAGAGAACATTTTCTGGACTACAAACAGCACAAAACCTACTTAATAAGTAGGAAAATAGTGATGAATAATACTGTTTACCAGTTCTTGGATGGAGTTATCTTTAACTGAGATTTCACAATGAAGAGAAAAGCATCTTCTGCCAAATAACAAACAGACCATCTAAGGGGTACAAAAACATAGTTTCATTGTGCTCTGGATAAATGTCATCTTTGTTATTGCAGAACTAAATTAAGAATGTTAACTAAGTCTAAAGATATAATTTTATTTTTAGTCTATTTGATTTTCTAAGTTACTAATCTGAGCCATGTATGCTTACAGTTTTCCCTCTTATTAACAGAGACAATTCAATGTCCATTTTATGTTTATAGTACAGTTTTGAACCACACAGTAGACAACCACAGTAATTTTTCTTTTGGAATTTGTATGATAATTTGAAGGTGAGATATCTACATAATGCATTGGACACACATATCTTTATACTTGTAGTTAAAATAATGTGCTTTAAATTTGTATGCATATAGATTTTCTATTTATAATAGTAGAAAATAATCTATTGAAACAAATAGATATTTATCTCTTAAAAAAGAGATGATAAAGCGATAATGTACTTTTCAATAAATATGAATCATAGGTGGAGTGATTTTTGTTTATTCTTGTGGCTGATTAATTTTAAATCTTTTAAAGCAATATGTTTTTCTGAAAGGCCACTCATGCTATTTTGTTGATGTCTGGAAGGGATATAATGAACATATTTTTCTCTCTTCTGACTCCATAGACCAAAATAAAATAAAACCTCAAGATGTCAATCAAGAATAGATAAGGGGAAGAAAGAAAAACTTTTTCATCAGTGATAGAAAATGACACATTGAAGCTACATGGCCTAGGCAACTTACTCATTGGGTTTATAATGAATTTATAAGCTGATAGTGACCAGGTTGTTCTAGATTTTCAGTTGTCACAATCTGCAACATTGCTATTGGATTCACTAAAGCAGAGCCATAACTATTGGAATATAAAATTCTGAATTTTAAAATGGCCGTGGAAAACTAGAACTGGAAACAGGTTTTAAATTATCCTCCAATTCCATAAAGCCTTTTTTTAACAGAATTAATTGAAATTTTCATGAATAAAGTTTGTGTGTTTGCAGATGGGTCACAGTCATTTCAGCTCTGGACTTCGTGACGCCAGGAGAAGTGGGAAACTACACAGTATTTGTGAATGCAAGATTTTGCATTTAGATAGGTTTGAGCTGAACGATCTGAAAAAGCTCCCATAAGCACAGAGCTCCTCACTGTCTGTGTGTTTGAGAAGGCTGAAGAGCTCTGTTTATTGCCACAAAGGGCCTGGAATAAATTATGTTTAGCAAATTGGCTCCAGGTTTTCTTGTTTCAGACAGTAGCTTCGGAGCAATCTGTTTTATGGGCTCCACTAGATGTGACCGATTGCGGGGAGGTGACACCTCGTTTTTCGGGACGTTTATGGGACGTGACATGGCACATGTGCCAGGCAGGTGTGGCCCTTCTCTCTGTCAGGATGGCAGCACACTTGCAGCTCCACTTTCTGGCTTCTGGCGCTTTTACCTACTGCCCAGTCCCAATTTATGGGCCCCGCTGGGAGGTCTGAACAGGATGGAGCCAGGCTGCTCAGCCCCTCCCAGCCTTGTGCCTCCCACCCCTACGTGGGGCAAATAAAAGCTCCTTTATTCCACTGGAAGTGCCCCCTTTTCAGCGAGGTGTGTGCATGGCTTCCTTCCCTGCTAGGTCTTGCAGGTGATAATTAACACAGTGCAGTGCTATTTCCTAGCTGAAGCCAAGGTAGGGAAGCAGCTTTAGCCTCAGTATTTTTCTTTTCAGAGTCTTTTTCCTCATTTATTTTGGATCCGTTCATGGTGAGGAAGTTTTAGAAGGTGTTGGTCCTTAGCTGAAGTATCAAAGAACTAAACAAACTAGTAATTTTTTCCTTCTCTGACCAAATTTGTCTTACTTTTGAGGGGAGGAAGGAATAGGGGAGTCAAATTTGCTTTTTTTATTTCTGCTCATGGGACTGTTTGCTTCTGCTCTGTGTGACTGTGGGTCTTTTCAGCACAGAACCCTGATTGACATTGCATGTGTTACAGAGAGGAAGGATATTTCGTCAAGATTAATGGCAAGTTAGTTGGCCTCAAGTTCATTAACCTGAGCTAGACTGTTGGAAGGACTCTCTGTGGAAGCTGGAATTGTATTAGAGGATCATCATAAACTAAAAATATATGTGACAATCTGGCCAGATTGCAATGAATCTAAAGACAGAACAGGGTTGGCTCAAGCTCACAGACCAGCTGCCTCCAGTGTAAACTAACCGCCTTGTGAAAGCAAATGGTTTTTCACAGACATTATTCAAATAAAAGGGAAAAAGGGGGAAAAAAAGCCAACCAAAAAAACCCAAAGGTTCCCATTAGCAAAAAATGCCTAAATGAAAAAATGAGATTGTGAGCTATGGCCAAAGGCCCAAGTTTGGTGCTGATTCTCAATCAATTCAGCAAATGACAGTGCATTGACACAAGTGGTTTTTTAGTCAAATTTAATCTTGATTCTTCACAGTAATTTGCCTCAAGTAAATGAGCCCCAAATCCTTTGGTGAATTCCCTGTTGGCTGAGGCCCAGACCTTCAGGCCATGACTTCTCAACATACTTGCAGTGAGACTGGCTCCCACTTAATTGCTTCTTTTTGAAGTATGGTTTGTCACTATCATCCTGCTGAAGATGAACAGGGCTGGTGTCTCATCTTCATATATTCTTTCCCCTCCTCCCCTCCCCTTCTTTTCCCCTTCTTCCCCCTAAACAGATTTCTTAAAGGCAATTTAACCCTACCATAGTCTAATCCACATCAGTTCTTTGTGGTCCACCCTCAAATAGATGTGTTGGCACAGAAGTAAAGGCTTTCTCTTAGGATCTCATACTGTAATAAAGGGAAGGGAAAGATGAAACAGGCATTTCATGTTTGTCTGTTTTCTCTCCATGTCATCTCATGAACATGCACTCCCCTTGGCCAAGACCAATGCATTCAGACACAATGTGAGTGTTGAAGAGGGGACTGGGAAGAAAGAAGCTCAGTGTTCTGCAATAGGAGCTATGCTTTGGGCATTTTACAAATTATTTCCCTTTTTCACCATCGTGCTCTTGCACACTTCCTTGTCTTTTACTATTGACAGAAAGTCTGGAGGCTCAGAAAGCCCAAGTTTCATCTGAGACAGATTTCCTCTGTCAGAGAGAACTGTTTCCATCCTTTCGTGCCAGGAAGGATGATCTGCCTGCATCAGGAGGTGCTGAATTGGTTCTGGGTGCTGCTGTGGCTCAGAGTTGCCTGACCCAGAGCTGCAGGAGCTTGAATACCAGACCAGGGGCCCCAAGCTGTGCTGCATCTCTCATGGGCTTGTAAGGAACCTCTCCTTTGATGTCTGTGCAAGTGCTGGCTGATGTGGGCACTAGGATTGCTCTTTTAATCAGGCAGTTCCAGTACCTTTCAGAAAAGAATTTTCATGGCAAGTCATGAGCCATTAATCTCTCGACTAACCATAACATTTCTTTACTCCTTGGTTTTACAGCATTACTCAAACACTGATATTTGTCATTTCACCAGCTGTCCCCCTTGACCTCTAGCATCATGCACTTGCAGGAGGAAGTATCTGGTCTTACAAGTATTTTCATACTCTGACGTCTGTGATTTATTAACCATCAAGTTTTGCCTTCAGAACTCAAGATGCCATTTTAAATAATTTCACGTGCAAAAGTGGAGTTATTGGGCAAAAGGGATCCTTGATAGCTGGGTACAAAGGCCGCCAGGATTGCTGTTGCTGTTTTCTTTTCAACTACTGTGCTGTATGGCCTTGAGGAAATAGGTTCACTGCAGCTTTATGGTTCTGTTTTTGCATAGGGAAAATAAGGACAGTGATAATTGCTTTCATTTGTAAAACACTTCAAGATTTATGGAATAAGAATGACACTTATTAAATGAAAAGTGCTGCAAAGCTGGCTTAGTTGCACAGTGTGCTAACAAAATCTCATATCAGCCTATTGACCCCAGCCTGAAACACTCATTAAAGTTTATAGGACATTTTGGTGGATGAGTTGCAGTTATTCTGCTGGAAATATCATACTGAAAGCACTTTTAAATACATCATCTGCATTGACTGGTTTTTTCTATTAAAACTAAACACAACTGCTTGTTCCATCCAGTTTTCTTAGTTTATTTATGAAAATTTTGATGGGTATGTACTCATTGTTAACTCTGCTTGTACCCCCATGGCATCTGAGACATTACAGTTCATTCTAGTCAGAGCATAAACATAAAATAGCTGTTGTACTGAGATAAAAAGAGTTATAAAACATCAAGATATCCAGTGGACTGGTATGAACTAACAAGTTGCGTGGTCACTTTTGAATGGCAAATGTTCTTTTTGTTAATTTAATTTGTGCTTGAACTTTAGCTGTGCTAGACGCTGGTGTTTGAAAAGTTTACATATTTTTCCAATGTCAAAATGTGTAAATTTAGTATTAAAGAAACAAAACATTTTTACTTGTACTGGAGAAAAAAAAATACTTTTGTAGCAAAGAAATTAAATTAGCTGCTCTTTAAAGATAGATCTGGCTTGCTTACAGAATTATTGTTTATGCAGTAATGCAGGTCTACAGATGTTTTCCTTTTTTTCTTTCAGATAAAACTTGGATTGTTTGAAAAGTGGAGAGATATTTCACCGTGGTGAAAAAGAAGATACAGAAGAGGAGAGCAGAATGAGAGCTTTGCAAGTGCCTCATGCCTGCAGCTTGCTGTCTTTAGTGATGCTGTTCCTTCCAGTCACTGGAACGTCAAAACAAAATATCCCAAGACTGAAGCTTTCCTATAAAGGTAAACTTTTCAGCATTTTTTTCTGATTCTGCTGCTTTTGTTTTGATGTGATGTTGCCAGCAGTTCATTTGTATTACTTACCAGGAAAGCAAAACACAGTCCCAGAAATACATAATAGAAGCCTTAAGGATGGATGGATTCTGCCTGGGGATGGTATTAAATTCTGGGGGGGTTTTGTCATGTAGAGGCACATATTTCTGAAATACAATTTTCTTTTTAAACTATTATTTCTGTTTGGTCCAAGAGGATATTAACAGACTATATAAACTAGAGGGAAGTGGTACTTGAAACACTCTGAGGTGCATTGGAGACATTTCCATGTGAGACATGGAGGACATTCACACCTTCCTAGAGTATTAGAGAAAGTCGAGAGCTGCCTCAAGTGTTTCAAGGGGGCTGACATTTATTTTTGTAATTCTTTTTCTATCACTACGTTGCTATGTTAAACTCTGCATATGTGGTTTTCTTTGTCCTTGCCTCTTTGGATCACAAAAGCATGTTTTCTCTGTGGAATTTCTTAGTCTTGTGTGAAGTTATTATTGAGAATGGTACCATCTGGGGAGTTTCAACACAGACATATATATGTATTAATGGACAATTTTTAAAAGAAGGTGGATTTCTCGTTCCTTTGAATGCAGAGTACACCTCCATAGGCACAGAGATGTGTCAGTGATGCTGTCTTCTTTAGCTAAAACAAATGCTTTCCAGTTAGTTATGTTTCAACTATGTCAGCACCCTGCCCTTATGGGAGCTATTTCTGCTCTGTTTTTCAAACTTATGTCTTCCTATGCCTCGCAGAATTGCACTCAGGATGGTGTGATGGGGCAGGCTGTAAAGCCTTCATCAGGGCTTATGATACGTTTATCATGAGTTAACACCCAGAGGAATTTATTGAGTAAGCAGAATGACATGCTATTTATTTACAAGCTTCTCTTTTGCTAGATTTGCATGCCACTGTGCATGCTATTCTGCTGTGTATAGATGTGTTTGGATGTGTTTGTGTGAGAGAGATGGAGGAAGCAAGATCAAGGGATCTTGACAACATTTTTATAAATTCAGGAAACAGTTGCACTCACTGAAGCCAATGAATACAGAAACTGAAAGACATGACATGAGTTATGAAAGTTAGCAGTAAAACCCTCCTTACATACAGCCAGCCTTCTCACAGCTAGGCCTTTTGAGATAATTCCCAAAAGCAGCATATACCATATGGCAGTGGCATTTATTGTGGATTCGACACTCACGATTAGTGAATTCCTCTCAACTTCAAAAGCAGATAGCCTTTGGCAAAATCCTGATGGATGCCTTTGGCAGGTAAAGAGGGGGAGAAAGAAAAATTATTGAGGTCAACACAGGGAAAAAAGAAATGGCTGAAATCTTAGTTTGAAATAGTGGCAGAGACCTGCTGGGAGCAGTTGGGAAAATGCCTGAGCTCGTTTAGAAAGACAATGAGCAGATGATTGATATTTAGGCCCTGACCCAAACTTTTATTAGCAACTTTATAAACCTTTCAGTTTGGCTTGAGGGATACCGTTTCCTGTCCGAACTTATCCACCTATATCCCTGTAGGGGGGGAAAATCAACAACAGATACAGACGCAAAATAGCACATAAATCTTAATTTGGACAGGTGTGATGGAACTGAAAAGCCAGAAGAAAGAGAATTATGAGAATTTATTGTGCCGTGTCTTACTTTTCTGGGAGGGTGGAAGGTGTGTATTTTTCCACATGGAGCAAGAAAATATTCACTTGTTTTTTCACACTGATGTATTGTAAATTATACCAGTAAGGCTTATCATAATTAAACCATCTTTTTGTTGTTGATAACAGGATGTCAGATGTACTGAATATTTAATAAAGTTGTCAGAATTAAGTCTACCTTCCTTCCCCCAAGTGTTTCAGACAAAGTAATTCCATGGTTTCTGTGAGTAAGATATAGGAGAAATGAGCTGTCTTGCCAGTTCTCATAAAATTGTTAGTCATGTCACTGACAAGTCCTGGCATCTCTGTTCTTTGGAATTAAGACTTGAAATATCATTAGGAGGAGAATGCAGGATTCTTTCCTTTCTTTGTGGAAAACATGAAAAATGGACACACCAGGCAACTCCAAAAACCTGCTCACATGCATGTCTGAAGGGAAGGTTTAATTCCCTTCAAGGTGCAGTGTGTTTATGGCATATGTCCATCTTTCAGAAGAGCTGAGCATTTGCTGGGGCAGGAAAGCTGAAAGTAAGCAAGATTTTCCTCTGTAGTTACTGAATGTCCCAGCTGCATCAGTCAGTGGTGGATGGGTAAGAGGGGAGAAGGTGGGGTGGTTACAGATACGTCAGGATAACTGCAGGAGTGCTTCAAGAAACCACAGCATGTCACAGCTCCTTTGTGTTCAGACAGCAATTAAAATTTTAGACCGTCTCTTAATGGCAGTTACGGATTTTCATCTTCTCTGGATTTTTATCTTAAGAACTGGGAATCTGTGCTGGAAATGTTAAGATATTCCAGTGAGTGATGTGGGGATCAATGCAATATCATGTGATGGATTTTCTTTATTGTGTGCCCCAGTCTAAAAATATGTTCTAAAAAATCATGAATGTATAAAACTAAAACTACACACAATTCAATTGAAATATGTTGTAATACAGAATCAAAGTCATATATTTTCCACCTGTGTTAATGTAATACGCTATAATCTTTAAATGACATATCTCATCCTTTATTCCCACATTTTCCCTGGTCCATTAGTTGAAAAATTCGCTTCTTCACTTAGACTTAACTTCTAGATACTGGTTCATGTCATTACTCTCCTAGAAGTTGTCACTGCTCTTGTGATGTTTTTAGGGTGCTCTCACTCCATAAACCTTACTTAATCTATGTTTCTTACATACTTCTACAAGTTTGAGGTGCTTTTATTGTTATGTTATAGATTTAATATATGGACGAGCTAAGAAACTGTCTTCTAATAGAAGATGCCCATGTTTAGAAAACCAGGGGATGAGTTTTGAGTACTATTCCTTATTTTAATACTCTGTCTAGCACTGCCTTCAGTCTAAGAGAAACTGTGTGTTTATCACTAATGCTCATGCAGCTGGAGATAACCTGTGACCTTCATCCAAACTGTAGAACTCCTCAAACACAGAAGTGATGTTCAGCTTCCCTAGGCAGCACATGCTTGTTTTCTGCTGCCTCATTTAACAGCCTCATTCCAACCTCTAGAGCAGATGCAGGTTTTCATATACCAATCTCATTCATTAATGTCATTTTCAGGACAGCATCACTTACTAAGGAATGGAAGAGTTTGTGTCCTAGTTCATATATGATTAATTCATACTGTGTAGGCAGTCTTGTTTCTGTCTATCTTCTGAGTAATAGTCTTTTTAAATTAATTGAGAGGTACTTGCATACATATTTTCTGAGTGTTTCTCTAGGTTCTACTTTATAAGGAAGAGTAGAGCACAGCCAAACCAGAAGGTTGATTGCCTTCTAAGGAAAAGAAAACAAAAATTAAACATTTTTCAATTTGTGGCTATCCTAAAATTTCCCTGCAGAAATGCAGATTTATAATTGCACATTTAACCCTATTGATTTCATTTACTTTACTGCTTTTCATGGACATCTTAGTTAGTGTAGTCTTTGTTCTCAGTGAATGCATTTATTTTACAAAAGTGTGCACCCTGGTTTATTGGCTGGGGGGGATGCCCCAGCCAAGATTTGAATGTTGGCACCAGTGACATCCATAAACATATGTCATTCCTGTGTGGGAATGTGGCCATGCCCCAGAGCAAGCCTTGCTTGCTGTGAACGGTGGTGACATGGTGAGATGACCAGGAATCCTGCATTGTGACACAATACATAGGGAAAAGCATGCCTGAAGGTAACCTTTGGCTTTTAAAACAGGATTTACTTAGCACTGTTAAAAACAACTATGGTAGTGATTTAAATCTAATAAACAAGAGCATTATTCTCAGCTGATTTGTTTTTCTCCACATTGAATGAATTAAGATGCAGTCTCACTCCCACTGAAGTCATGGCAAGTGTTTGGCCACTGAAGTAAATTGAAGCAAGATCAAATTCACACTCCTCACTTTTTTCATCTTACATAAGTAAACTAAAGACAGGCAGTTCTTTCTCCTCTGCTGAAGGATGACAGTGCTAAATCATCAGCTCCACATGGAAATTAGCCACGTTTAAGGATTGTTTAGTTTCATGCAGTGTTTTGCACACAGGATTTTCTTCCCTCTAAGAGTGATCCATTCTTTAAACATGGTGAAAAAGCAAACAGAGAACATTTTGCTGCCAGGAATTCTTTTGAAAATTTGACTGGATGAGTACACTTGCTTAATGTTCAAAAATGGTCCTTTGAACATGCTACTTTACAATGTCAGGCATTCTGTTCTCTATATTGTTTTTGCTTTAAACCTGTTTCATTTTATAACTGATGAGATGCTTGACTGTTGCATCAGAGCAGTTAGTTTGCTAAGTTTCAGTACAGCTGGCTTATTTCCATGTCATGCATCATTTAATTATCCATATAAAACATAGTTAAAGCTGTACACCTCCTTGAGCCTCACTTAAACTGTCTGTGACACTGCAGTAATCCCAGTACTGTGATGGGGTGTTGCACAACTATGACTGGTTGGAATGTGGTAAACTGGTGATATGCAAGAGAGCCCAGAAATGAGTTTGCATTTTGCAGCTGTGCTTGCTCTGCTGGAAGAGGAAGTAAAACCAGAAAAAGCCCTGCTCCTGTGGTAGTACCAGTAGCTGTAAATCTGAATGCTTATGAAAATCAAGGAAAATGTGCTGAGTGAAGAAGTGGTGTTTTCCTCTTCTTTGTTATTTATTTGATTTTTGATGGGTTGTTATGTCTCAGAAAAATCTCTCAGATTCCTTTGCAGAAAAACCCGAAGTGTTTATGTGAGAATGAAGACCCTACTACTGGAAGATTGTATAGTTGCGCAAAAGACTGTGCCTGTTTTGTCACAAAAATGCTTTCTGGATGCAGTGATCATTGAGAATTAAAATATACCCTAGCTTGACAATGGATGGGCACTGCTGTCCATGCAAAGAAAGTCTCTTGTATATGCAGTAATCTAAATATAAATGTGAAGGCATATTATATTATGTGAAGGCACAATTTAGTAATAGGAAAACCAGAAAATTTCTTACAGACATTTTTTTCTTTTTTTAAGCTAGTGAACTTGAAGGTCAGATCCAACTATATGTTGCATTTTCTGCCCTATAATTATCATATATATATATAATGTCCTGGAGAGCAGCTTCCAGTCACTGACATCAACAGTTTATATAGCACTTGAACTAAGAATAACCTTGAAGAACTGACCCATATCTACCTTTTAAGTGTAAACTGTAGCTCACTACAGTATTTATGATTTCATAGTCACAGAAGGGCCTCAATTGGATAAAAGAAGAATTGTGTTCAAAAAATACAGAACTATTCTGCTGAGTGTTCACTTGATTAAATCTTGGAAAATGAGAGGAAACAAAACTGAAAGAGTGATGCTTGGCAAATAATTTTTGCTCCCTTGTAAAAAGAAGGATGGGACAGAATCAAAAACAGTTTCCCTAGAAGAAAAGGGGAAGATACATGATAAGTGGCATCAGCTGGAAAGATGGCACAAAACTCTTTCTTTGACTGCTTTTACTAATGACATCTGTTAAGCAAATCCAATTCAGAGCAGTTTGAGCAATCCCAGCATTGTTCTCATTCTACTCATTATGGGATGGCGTGATCCGCCTGACATCAGTAAGTGTAGCAGTGGACATCTGTAGTCACTGTTCAAGTTTTCAAGTCACATACTGTTTCCCTTTCCGCCCTCCCCATTTCTGCAGTTCTATTTATAGATGAATCCCCCAAAAAAGGGCTGAGGAATATAATCTCTCCTGTATTCACAGTCCTTTGGAGATAAATACACAAAGAGATGGCAGAAATAGACAGAAGTTCC